GTACCAAAGGATGAGGGTTTGCTAGTCACAGTTGTTTGCCTTAGTCCTGTATGTACTGACCTAATTATAAGGAGCTGCATAGTCCCAGTCTATTTGAAAATCAGAAACACAGGTTTAAGTGTCTCATTGGACAAAGTGCTTGACATGCGAGCCTGAAAACCTGCATTCGGTCCCCAGACCATGCTGTCCTCTGACCACCCTGAGCTCACATGCTCACACACACCATACACAAAACAGTAATAGTTTTTAAACATCTTGCTATAAAAAACTTTTAACACCTGTAATAAAAACCATGTGAATTATTGTACTATTTACAGCAATAATACTACAAAAAATATGTATGCTTAATGGACTGCATATTTAAATGAACAGAGAATTCTTCAGAAATCCTATCTAGGGAATGAAGCTTAAATTGATAGTGAGTTTTGAAATAGAAGAGGCATTGATTAGCAGAGAGAAAACCAGAAGGTGTCATGTGTGAAAGTACTATCTCTTGTCGAGCTATGTGCTGTTTCTCCCCGCCATTAAAGGTAATAAATTGAGGCTGTTTATCCTTACTTTATTGCTAGCTCCTGAGACTGGACAGACTGCAGGACAATTCCAGACCCGGACAGCAGACGGTGTAGGTGTCTGGCCACAGTGGCAGGGCCAGCAGCCTCATCACCGGTCCAGTTCCAATGAGCAGCACGTTCAGCAAACGTCAGCACAAACACCTAGCCAGCCTGAGGTCTTTCAGGTGAGTGGGTGAAGACTTCAGAGAGAAGGAAGCATGCCTGGTATTGGCTGGGGGGAGAATGACACGGGAGGAAGACAGAAAGGATGTGTAGGGATGAGTGTTGTGAACTGAAGCAGTTATAGACATGCCCCTTCAGCAGACCAGGCAAAGACGCTGATGTGAAGCAACATGGAAAGATGCTGAAGAAAATGATTTTAACTCATGAACAAAGATCCACATCTCAAAGTAGCTTTAAATAGGATAATAAAAAAGTAGATGAAGTAGAACATGCTGATTATAGTTATAAGTATCTGTTTCTCCTGAGGGAGCTGCAAGATTGAATGATGTCAACTTAGAGAACAAGCTAGTCAGAAAGACCAAAAAAAAGGCAAAATAGGGTTTGGTTGGAAACAAATGTGATTATTTACATTTCTGATACGTCTGTAGGGGTTAAATGAAATGTTGGCATGTGCATTTTCTTCCATTGAAAATATCAAGGACCAGCAAAAGGGATAATAAAGGAACTAGAGGAGGAAGATAGAAAAGAGACTAGGAAAAAGGCTGAAGTGTGAGGAGTTGGTTCTCGGAAGAGGAAGGTTAAGAGAGCTCAGCATAGCACGGGCTTTTGCAGCTCAGGAACGGTGATTTATGTGTGGGGGTACTAGGGGGGAACGCAATAAAAATAAGGATATATGACCAAATCTAACCTTTTCCCTTAGGAAATGCTGTCCATGCTGGGAGATCAGAGCAACAGCTACAGCAATGAAGAATTTCCTGATCTAGTTATGTTTCCCCCCTTCTCAGAATAGAACTATTGGGGTGAGGATAAGGGCGGGGAAATCACTGTTTGTTTTTAAAGCAAATCTTTTGTAAACAGAATAAAAGTTCCTCTCCCTTCCCTTCCCTCACCCCTGATATATGTGTACCCCTTCACCCCTTGACTTTCTGAAGTGACATTATAGAAGAAATTAAATTAATTTCCCAGGCTTTTAGGATCCTCTGGAAATTTGAGGACAGGTGAGGTTAGAACTCATGTCTTCTGACCAGAAGTTGCACAGAAATGAATTGTGCTGGAGTCAAGGGGCAGAATAGAAGAACCTGACAGCCACTAATTGTCTTGGATACTATGGCTTGTTTTGGATAGAAATTCTGAATAGAGGCAAGGAGAGGAGAAATATCCTCATAACTGAGGATCATGAAATATGGTAGATCTATGTGGAGCTTTAGGAAGTGATTAATCCCCTGGAAAGAAACATGAAAGAGTGTGAATGTGTGTGTGTGTGTGTGTGTGTGTGTGTGTGTGTGTGTGTGTGTGTGAGAGAGAGAGAGAGAGAGAGAGAGAGAAAGAGTGTGTGTATGCGCGCGTGCATGCATGTGTTTGAGCTCCTATGTTTTGTTCTTTCTCCCTATTAGGGAGTATATGCAAATTTTGTCCCAGATTTTCTTAGCCTTTCTGCTTGCTCTTCAAAGAGTCCTAAGAAGTTAATTTTTCCAGGTATTTTTCTATTTAGTATTGCAGCCAAAGAGTATTTAAGTTAAGTCTTTGCTGCACTTAAACCCATACCCAGCCAAAATGAAACTATAGGCTAACATACAGTCTTCTGTTGATAGGGTTGGTCTATAACAGAACACATTCAGTGATCAAGCTGGATTACTTGTGCTCTTTGGTGCTCTCAACTTATCTGGAAGATCTGCGGATATTACCAAAATAGGCTGGCTAGACAAACACTGTCACAAATCCCAGATTTGCCCATAACGATAATGCTGCATTTTCTGTGAGTCACACATGTGTTCTGGAGAGGTATTCTGCATGGAAACTCAACTTCTTGGATCAGCTATTTGAGTGAAAGATTATAAACCAAATAGAAGCCCTCCTGCACAGAAGCCTCTCCTTCTTGTCACCAAACGACATGTAGATCTTCCCGAAGTCTGTCTGTCTTTGCTCCCTCTCCAATCTTGATGTTGGGTTTTGCTTCGGAGCATAAACAGAGGTCTGCATTAGGTAGACTCAGATCCCAGCAGGATCACCTGATAATTACAGCCATAGAATGCAGACACATTACTGCGCTCCTTTGCCTTCCTCAGGTGAGGCTCATAAATCAGCAGCCTCTTTTCGTAAAAGTTGGCTCCTGTCAAAGATTAAATTAATAACAGAAAAGATCTATTAAGAGCACTCATTGGGGAGAGGAGCCCAGATGGAGAGACTGAGGGGATGATTACTCAGTTTCCCTCCATTTGTCTCCAGTCTGGTGCCAGGCAATAGAGTGAGAAAGGAGGCTATTTTTTTACTCTGTGTGCACACATACAGTATACATACATTATATATATATATATATTTATATCAATTTACAAAACCAAAAAGTTGGGTTTCCAATGAAATACTTGTTTTTTAATAATCAACTTGTTTTTAAATGTGATCTGAACTATAATGTACAGTTATCACAGGGCTTTTGAAGAAGGGGAGGGGGGAAGCCACTCTGAGGGGTTTGTTCTGCTTTACCTTCAGGGTTTTATTTTTGATTGTTTTTTCTTGTTGGCCATCTGTGCTAAGCCTTACAGTGGCAAAAATGATGACATGTAGCAAAGATTTTAAAACAAAGTATTTTTTCTTTTATAAAGTTTATTGTGTTGTGTGATCTTGATTGCGACTTCCTTTCCCCTTTACAGTTCATAAGTGACAGACATGTACAACTAGAAGAATTCATAAATGAGCTGCAAACACCCAAGCAGAAAGCATAGCTGAGTCTCAGTTTCAGGAGTTAGGGCTCATAGGCCCCTGATCACTCAGCATGCTCTTCCTCTCCTTCCCTCCTGACCCTGACACATCCTGAGTAAGGCTGGTAGAGACACCCCCGTCACACTCAGGGAGCGGGGGTTGCCCAGTGCCTTAGAAGTAGCTGGGAAGTGCTCTTGGGATTTGAGGCTGCTCTTCCCAGTGTGTCCTCCCAGTTAAGTGGACAAAGGGAGTTGTAAACTTCAAGTTGTTCAAATGTGGACCTGGGCTTCATTGATCCCTCTAGAAAACCAGGGGCAGGCAGGACTTGGGTCTATGTGAGGGATCCGGCTGGAAACTCAATCTAGATTTGTGGTAATGCCCTTTTTATTCCAGGGCATTTAGGGCTGTGGTTGGCCGAGCTAGGCTCTTATGACCTGTCACATGCCTGGCTTTTGGGGAAGCATTTGGACTCTATGACTGGACCTCGTGGGGGTCTTTCGTGACTGAGACACAGTGCTCTTCAGACATCCCTCCACCTGAGAGTTTAGTCACATGTGTATCCGGCAGCTCGCTGCTGCTGCTGAATCGTTGTAAATCTGCACTGCCTTGGGTGCAGCGTCACTTTCCTCCCTGAGCGCTGTGTTGGGCGTTGTACCTTGGGCCTCATGATAGTAGGCAAGCACACCACCACTGAGCCACGTTCCTCAATCCTCTTTTTTTTTTTTTAATAGCAATTTTTTATAATTTTATTTTTTTCTTATCAGTTACATTTTATTAACTCTGTATCCCAGCTGTATCCTGCTCCCTCATTCCCTCTCAATCCCACCCTCCCTCCCTCATCTCCACCCTGTCCCTTTCCAAGTCCACTGATGGGGGGGCCTCAATCCTCTTTCAACTTTTGATTTCCAGACAGGATTTCACTAAGTTTCCTAGGCTATGCCTGAACTTGAGTCTGCTGTCATCAGATACAGGACCTCACTGTATAACCCCTTGAGACTCACTCTGTAGACTGATGTGGTCTTGACCTCACAAAGAGCCACCTGCCGCCCAGTACGAGGGTAAAGGTGTGCCCACAACCAATCATAACTCTGCTTTAGCTTCCTGAGTAGCTGGGATCACAGACCTGCACCACACAAGCTCAACTCTCTGGCCACTTTTAAACCATTTCACCTGGATTTTGTGGGTAGTGCCTCCCTCTGCACAGCCATCATGGGTTAGAAAAGCTACTTTCTGGGCTGGAGAGATGGCTCAGAGGTTAAGAGCATTGGCTGCTCTTCCTTAGAGGTCCTGAGTTCAACTCCCAGCAACCACACGGTGCCTTATTACCATCTATAATGAGATCTGGTACCTTCTCTTGTGCCCTCTCCTGGCCTGCAATCATAAATGTATGCAGAAGACTGTATGCATAATTAATAAATCTTTAAAAAAAAACAACAAAAAACCTTCCTGCCCAGAAGCAGTTAACACTAACTAGTCATGAAGTTTTTTTTAAAAAGTTTAGGTTGGAGCCTTACAATGCCATAATTAACTGTTTTCTAAGCTTGAGCCCCGACCCCACCCCTTTGCCCCCTGGCATCCCAAAAGAGGATCTGACACAAAGTTGAAAAACATCAGGGTAAGGGAGGTGGGTCATGACTGGAAGGTTAGAGAAAGATGGAATTCCCCAGTCAGGTATTTTGAGGAAGGGCAGAGGCAGGGCTGTGTTTTCGTTTCTCCACTAAAGCCTCAATTTGAATAATGTGCTGTCTTATTTTTGCCCCCGAAGACAGTCAGACGAAACTGAACATTAAGCAACTCTCCACCCTGGCGCACGATTCTGTACACACAAACCCTGCAAATGTGCGTCCTTCCTAACCCCCTTTCTCATTCTATCCCTGCCTCCCTCCCTTATCCAAATTTTCCAGCCACTGCTGGAGTTGACTTCCGCAATCCTGACGGAATAAATCTAGCACCCTTAGTCTTCCGCTCACAGTAGCCACACTTCCTGCCTGAAAGGAGCCGAGACAACAGATTTTCAACAGCAGGTAATGTTGTTCTTAACGTCTAGATCTTTTGTCTCCTTCCTACCAGTTAACCTTCTTTCAAGAAGAGAAAGGAATACAAATTGAATAATTGTAATAATGATAATAATTTTAAAAAAGAAGAAAAAGAGGGGAGGAAAGAGGGGCTTATGGGGGGATACAAAGTGAATAAAGTGTAATTAATAAAAAAAAAAAAAAGAAAGAAAAAGGATATAGTAAATTGGGGATCAAATAGCTTAAGTTCCCTGAATGAAAACATACTCCTTAGTACATTTTCTGGCAATCTGTCTGGAAATCTTTAGGATTCTGTGTATAACCGTATTTATCCTGTGTGTGTGTGTGTGTGTGTGTGTGTGTGTGTGTGTGTGTGTGAATATGTGGTTGTTGGTAAAAGCAAAGGATGAGGGTTTCATAAACGTGTCTCAAAAGTGGACTCCTGGATTTCTGTGTAACCCAAGAATAAACCGACTCCTGAGGAAGAGAAGTTAACAGCCATCTCCATGCCTGAAACACTCAGTGTTAAATGCTGTGCTGGATATTCTGTGGCTTTGCAAAGACTTGTGCAACGCTGGCTGCATTTTTCTGTGGCCAGCGTTGCACAACACATATGATTGTGCTGGAGACGGGGAAGTAGTTTTTAAACTTAAGAACTTGCAATAAAGCCAATGCAAGAAATTAATGGAGCCAGAGAAAATTCCTAAAAATCTGTGAGCTGCAAACTTGGTCATTACAGAATATTATTTTTCCACCCCGAGTTTCCAATCATGAGTCTGAGGCTTTCACCCTGTGAAACAGCCTCGTCTCTGTTGGGGGGAGGGTGGAAGCTACTTACTCATAGCATCTGGTTAAGATTAGAACAGTTTCCTGCCTTCACAGGGAGAGGGCATGAGGAAAGACATGGATAAGGCAAATGAAGACACAGTGAACAGACCACAGATGCTGTCCAAGTTAGTCCTGGCAAGATCTGGGTCTAGGCAAGGAAGGACGGATAGCATGAGCAGAGCATGAAGCCCACTTTAGCTGGAGCTCTGGATCTAACCACATCCCCACTGTGCTTATTCTGTTCACGTGCACCCTCATTGGGGTGCGAGGGAAGAGCGGTGCTAACCCTGCCCGGTTACGAGCTTCCCACCTCTGCTTGTCTAAGGTACTGAAATCAGGTATTCCAGCACTCCCCCAGCTTCTGTCCATCGTTTTATCATAAAAACTGCCTGCAATTTTTGGTCTGTCTTCCACATACAGCCAAGCTTTCCTGCCTCAAAGTTCAAAAGAAGGGATTCTTAGGCTGGGCACAGTGGCCCATGCCTTTAATCCAGCAGGCTGGAGGGAAGCAGAGCTTCGAATTCAAAGCCATCTTGGTCAACATAGTGAACTCAAGGCCATCCAAGACTTACATAGCAAGACTGGTTCTAAAAGTATGCGTGTGTGTGTGTGTGTGTGTGTGTGTGTGTGTGTGTGTGTGTGTGCACATGCACATATGGTGTCATTCTCTTGGGTTTTTTTGATCGCTTAGGATTAATGCATGTATATGCAATTTTCTGGTAGAAAGGACTTATTTTTCTAGCTCTTAAAAGGTTAAAAGCCACTTTCTTAGCAGTGTGTCTGCTGTCATTTCCACATCCTAAGCCAGCCTGTGAACATTCTGCCAGTGGAAATCTCCCCTAGTTATTCCTTTCTCCAGGATGTGGGCGTTTAAGTTTCTGCTTCTACCCACGGTGAGCTTTGCTCTGTACCCTGAAGAAATGCTGGACTCGCAGTGGGAGCTATGGAAGAAGACGCACAGAAAGCAGTATAACCGCAAGGTGTGCTGGGGAGCACGGAAGAGGGCTGGGGCCTGCGCCTCTGCCTTGGTGGCTAGCTTTCCCTCAATCTTAACACCGCGCCTAACCCCAAGGAAGCAGCCCCTGTTCTCTGACTCTCCGGCTGGCTTCTGCTTCTGTGCTTCAGTCCATCTGTCTGCTTTCCAGACAGACAGCTGAAGGGGCAGCTCAGGAGCAGATCTCATGTTCAAGTACCGAGTCCAGTGCTTGGTACCCCAGATGGGGCTGTGTGGTGTCTACGTGGGGAAAGCTCTTTCGGAGACTACCCTCGTAGTAATGCTATTCTACGATTTCCCTAGAGCTTTGCAGAAGTGTTTGTGTGTGCTTTTAAGATCCTAAAGTTCCCCACCTAGATTGTAAGCTTTTTCTGCATATGTTGTATCTTTTCTCCTAAAACCTCCCTATATAACCACATACAATTACAAATTTACTAACTGTCCCATTAGGCAGATGAAATCTCTCGGCGTTTAATTTGGGAGAAAAACCTGAAGCAAATTTCCATCCATAATCTTGAGGCCTCCCTCGGTGTCCACACATACGAACTGGCCATGAATCACTTGGGAGACATGGTGAGCTGCCTCTCAGATCCGGGCCCACCCACTGTCTTCACCCTGGGCGCTCCTGATGCTTGACCCCCTCTTTTGTCTCAGACCAGTGAAGAAGTGGTTCAGAAGATGACTGGACTCAAGTTGCCACCCTCCGGTTCCCACAGTAACGATACTCTCTACACCCCAGAGTGGGAAGGCAGAGTCCCAGACTCCATTGACTATCGGAAGAAAGGATACGTTACTCCAGTCAAAAACCAGGTGCTTTCTTGTGTGGGGGTAATCTGGCCTGAACTTTGATATGTCATACAATCAGAATATGGCATAGTCTATTGCTTATTACCTATTTTGAATATCTGGAGTTTTTCTACTTATTTATTTTTGGTTTTTGGAGACAGGGTTTCTCTGTGTAGCCTTGGCTACACAGAGATCTGCCTGCCTCTATCTCCTGAGTGCTGCGATTACAGGCCTGCACCACTGCACCCGGCTTTTTCTACTTTTAAAATTTTACACACACGGTTACAACAAGCACTTTAATGTATACTTTTGAGCTCATATAGAAATATTTGAGAAAATAAATTCTGAAATTGCAATTACCAGGACACAGAGAACTCTTCCCCCAAGAAAGGTTTTTACAATCTTAGATTCTGAGCTGCAGAAGAATCTCTTTCTAGGACCCCACCAGCACAGGGGTATGCTGGCAATGAGAGGAATATCTGATCTAACATTTAGCGAACAGTATCCCTCTCCTAGAACCAAACAAACTCAGTTCTAAGCTACAGCGCTAAAGGTTCAGGATCTAAGGTGTAGCCTTCCTCCTCCTCAAGAAACTCTTATTCTTAAAAAAAAAAAAAAAAAAGAAACTCTGGGAAAGAGAACGTTCTAGAAGCAGGAGAGCAGACACTTTCTGAGAGATTACTATGCAAATATGCAGCACTATGCAGCACTCACAGGAGCCCACTCACCTGAAGCACCTCTCACTCTTTGTGTTGTTTTGAGACAAGGTCTCATGCCCAGGCTGGCCTCCCACTCAGGCTGAGGCCGAGGTGACCCTGAGCTCCCGACCCTCTCGCGCTCTACCTCTCAGTCGATGGAATCACACGTGTTCCACCAAGCCCAGCTTACTCTCATTTTAAAGGTAGGGAAACGGGCTCAGAGACGATCAGTAACTGATCAAGGTCACATAGCTAGTGTGCAGAAACATGGGTCAGAACTCAGGAGAACTGTCTCCAAAGCTGTAAAGTACTGTATGTACTTGACTTCAGTTACAGGGAACAGTGGCCACCACTGTTATCAACGGGGATGATGACAAGGCCTCACAACAGAGGCAGCGCTGGTGCTTCAGTTCATAAAGGGCATGGAATTTTGTCAGGCTGGTAGAAAACTGCTGACTGATGTTCGTTCTTCTCTCAGGGGGAGTGTGGTTCCTGTTGGGCTTTTAGCTCTGCGGGTGCCCTGGAGGGCCAGCTCAAGAAGAAAACTGGCAAGCTCTTAAACCTGAGTCCCCAGAATCTCGTGGACTGTGTGTCTGAGAATAATGGCTGTGGAGGTGGCTACATGACCAATGCCTTCCGGTATGTGCAGGAGAACGGGGGCATTGACTCTGAAGACGCTTATCCCTACGTGGGGCAGGTGAGACCACACCACAGTGTGCGGCCTGTGATGGCTCTTCCCCCAGCAAGACTTTGTTTTCTGTTGCTGTGTTCTGCTTTCGTTCCTTTTCCTTCCTTCCTTCCTCCCTCCCTTCCTTCCTCCCTCCCTTTCTTTCTTTCTTTCCTTCCTTCCTTCCTTCCTTCCTTCCTTCCTTCCTTCCTCCCTCCCTCCCTCCCTCCCTCCCTCCCTCTCTCTCTTTCCTTCCTTCCTTCCTTCCTTCCTTCCTTCCTTCCTTCCTTTCTTCCTTCCTTCCTTTCCTTCTTTCCTTCTTCCTTCCTTCCTTCCTTCCTTCCTTCCTTTTTTCCTTTCTCTCTTTCCTTTTAAAATTTTGAGACAATCTCGTGTAGCCTGTGTTAGCCTTAAACTCACTGTGTAGCTGAGGACATCCCTGAACTCTTGGCTTGAGCTTACAAGTGCTGCATTCATAGGCCTGGGTCCCAGGCATGCCTATCCTGTTTTCTTCAAATAATTATTTACCATAGAAGGCCAAAATTCTCATAATATGAGAAAACTTTGAGCCATCTCTCCAGCCCCATGGCTTTTTTGTTTTGTTTTGAGACAGGGTTTCTCTGTGTCACTGTGGCTGTCCTGGACTCACTTTGTAGACCAGGCTGGCCTTGAGATCGCAGAGATCCACCTCTCTGCCTCCGCAAGGGCTAGGATTAAAGGTGTGTGCCTCTGCGCTTGGCTGCTCCCTGACCTTGTTGATATTGTTGGGACTGATGGGTAATAGAAAGCTTTGTGATTTGGACCTTTGAAAGAGGAACAGCAGGTTCCAGTGATAAAGGTGTTGGCGACTATGTGCTAGAGTGTGTACTCTGTGTGCTTTCTTAGGCTGCTCCTTGAGAGTTAGGGAGATAGCACCACACACTCAAATTCATACTAAGATTTTACAGAATGCATTAGTGTATATATTTGCATATATGGTGTGTGTTTGTACATGCAAGTGGGCTCGTGTCATAGCATGCATGTGAAGGCCAGAGAAGAATTTTCTGGCTTCCCTGCTTCCACCACGGGTCCTGCAGATCAAGCTTCAGTTATCAGGCCGTCTTACCAGCACCCCAAACAAGATCCGCCTGCCAGGTCTGCTTACCTAGTGCCTTTCCTCCATGCACCCATGGGACACGCATCCTAGGGGGTATAACTTTGGAACATAATCGCCTGGGTATTAAGGCATATGTATCTTTAAATTTACTCTATCATATCAAACTGTTTGCCAAAAATTATACTGCTACCCCCAGTATATGAGAAATCTAGCTGAGTCACACTCAGGGCTTCCTCAGTGTATTTCCTGGTCCTTCTAAACTGATAGTGAGAGACCTCGTGTGCATGCCTCCAGCACATGGGAGGTGGAGGCAGGGGGATCAGGAGTTCAAGACCAACCTAAACTATGTGGTGAATCAGGGGTAGCCAGCCTGAGCTCCATGGGACCCTCTGTGACAGGAGGATGAGAGAAAAAAAAAAAAAAAAGAAAATGGTGAAGAAGGAGAGAAAGTCTAATCTGTTGCCTGTTAATTCTGACATTATTTGACACACTTCCCGCTCACCAAGTAAAGGATATATTTGAGAAAAGTATATACTAAAGAACTAATCATTAGTCACTTGACAGTTGACAACTTGAATCTTTTTAGAAGATTACTTTTTATTTTATATGAGTGTTCTGCCTGCGTGTATGCACATATATTATGTGTGTGCCTGGTACCCCAGAGGTTAGAAGGACATGGGGATCCCCTGGAACTGAAGTTACATATGCTTTTGAACAACCCCGTGGGTACTGGGAACCAAATCTGGGTCCTCTGCAAAAATAGGTGTGCATGAATTACCCAGCACCGCATCAACCAGTTTGTAAGAAATGTTGGTTTGTCTGTTTCTGTTCTGGAGTTGGGGTGGGGGGTCACCCAGAGATCTAGTCCTTCTGCCTCCTGGGTGGTGGGGTCAAAGTCTAGCATGTTAGGCCCTGACATTCTTTCGAGTCCATTCACAAAACTTTATTTCATTTGTAGATCATATATTCCATCTGTGCTTCTTCTCATTCTTTCCCCTCCTCCTCCTTTTTTTTTTTTTTTAATCTGGAGTTTGGGATCCTCTTGTATCATGCTATGATTGCAAACAGGGATGTGCCACTCTGTGTGAGTCAACTGAACAGTTTAATACCGGAATCACATGGCAGAGCACAGATTCCGAGAAATCACTGTAACTTAGACCATCCCATCAAAAGCTGGAATCACATGGCAGAGCACAGACTCCGAGAAATCACTGTAACTTAGACCATCCCATCAAAAGCTGGCAGTACTGTTGGTACCTCTCTCTTGTTGTCATTATTTCAATATGTATTCTTTTGCATAAAACCTCAGGGTGGGAAAGGTCTAGTGTGTAGGAGAATCCGCTGTCACAGAGACTTCCTGTTTTATCGAGGCCTGCAGAGCCTCCACACTCTTGGAAGGCCACAAGCTGAATTACTTAGTTGTTGCTTGTTTTCATGCCATGTTGTATACTTATTTCTGTCTCTGGTGGAAACATAAGATCCAGCTAAAACTCTTCACCTCATGCTAGCATCCTTGAGTGGTGTACAGAAAGTCAAGCCCATCTCTTGAGCTGGGCTCAGTGTGGACAGACCCTCCCCCACAGAGCATCCAGTACCTTCCTGACCCCTGAAGCTTACACATAGCACACAGGCAGAAGATAATTTGTGTTTTCTTTTTTTCAAAACACCTCTTATTTTAAAAATCTTCTGCATCAGTAAAAACAGTCTCTCACCTGGGAGAGGTGAGGCAGGCTTGTCACCCCAGCACATGCAGGTGGAGGCAGGGGGTCAGCAGTTTGGGGTCATCACCGTATAGCCAGGAAGTGAGTTCAGGGCCAGCCTAGGCTACATGGTAAACTGTCTCAAAAAATAAATAAGTAAAAGAAGACTAAGATGGTGATGATGCAGGGCTGGAGAGATGGCTCGGCGGTTATAGAATACTTGCTTTTTCTTCCAAACAACCTGAAATCTGTTCCCGGCACCCACTTCAGGCAGCTCGCAACTGCCTGTAACTCTAGCTCCCAGGGACCCAGTGCTTTCTTCTAGCCATCAAGAGAGTGTGCACACACACAAGATACACAGAAGCAAATAAATAAATAAATAAAAAGGAAACAGTCTCCTTTTCTTTTGGAGTTGATTCTTCTGAGTGCTAGAAAGCAGGAAACCACTTGACTTTTTTTTTTTTTTTTTCATATTTTTTTATTTTGTTTTGTTTTTGAGACAGGATCCTACCATGTAGCCTAGACTGGCCTTGAACTCGTGGCAGTCCTCCTGCCTCAGCCTCTTGATTGCTGGGATTATAAGTGTACATCACCATACTTGGCTTCTTTTCATAGCTTTCTAAAATGGTAAGACCTGAAAACTAGTTCGTTGCCTCTAACATATTGAACTTCTTGCAAACTCATTGCCAGTTGATTAGCTATCATCCTATTTCACCGTTGGTTTCCTCCCCAGGAAGAAAGTTGTATGTACAACGCAACAGCAAAGGCAGCTAAATGCAGAGGGTACAGAGAGATTCCCGTGGGCAACGAGAAAGCCCTCAAGAGAGCAGTGGCCCGGGTAGGACCCATCTCCGTGGCGATTGACGCAAGCCTGCAGTCTTTCCAGTTTTACAGCAGAGGTGAGGACCTCTTCCTGCCGAGCCCTCTCTTCCAGGATGTGGGTGTGGCCCCAGGACCCCAGAGTGCCTCACCCCATCGGTTACACATGGTGGCAGCTGCTGCAGGCAGGGCCTCTCAGCTGGAAGCCCTGACGCCAGGGATCACAAAGGGCCCCCTTAGCTTGCAGAGAACCTCATTCACAGTCTGTTTTGTAGGTGTGTACTATGATGAAAATTGCAACAGCTATGATGTGAACCATGCGATGTTGGTGGTAGGCTATGGCGTCCAGAAGGGAAACAAATACTGGATAATTAAAAACAGGTAATTGTGGGGACACTGCCCCTGTCATGTAACAACCTTCGTAAGCCTCACCTCCAGCTTCCTGATAGTCCCTTCAGGCTCATGTTATGAAAGTAACGTGTGATGTCCTATTCGCAGTACATGCTGGACAGCTGCTCCTGGAGCAAGATGCTTAGTTGCACGGGAACAGATGGGCAGATTGGTGCCGGTCTCTTGCAGCCGAGTCAGACTTAACTGACATACAGTCTGTGTGTTCATTCCTGGCAGTCTCGGTCATCTGACTTCCTCGGAAATCTGTCCTGCTGCAGAGTAAAGCTAAAACCTCCTTAGACTGACAGCAAAGATCATGCAGCCCAATGTTGGTTGGTTGGTTGGTTGGCTTTGATTTTTTGAGACAGGGTTTCCTGTAGCTCAGGCTAGCCTTGAGCTCAATATGGCCCTGGAATCTTCAACCTTCTCTTAATCTCTCTCCAGCTCTGTCCCCCACTTCAGTCTGTCATGTGTTTCTGAGCCACATTGTCATAGCACATCATACTTTTTCATACATCATTTGTTTCACTTCCTTCCACCGTCCCACCATTCCCTCAGATCTCAAGTCTACTCAGCCTTCAGCTTCAGCCTCAAACACCACTTCTCATATTGTGTTTTTCTCTCCCCACCCCCTTTTCCTCCCCTCTAGCCTCCTTCCTTCTTCTCCTTCTGCTTTCTGAGACAGGGCCTCCTTATGTAGCCTCTGCTGGCCTGAACTTGCTGCCTAGAGCACGTCAGGATGGACCTCACAGAGATCCACCTGCTGTGCCTCCTAAGTGTTGCTGGAATTACAAATATGCACCACCAAGCCTTTTCTCCCAACCCGCCACCTGAGACGGGGGTTCTTTATGTTACTGTAGCTCTCCTGGAAGTCTCTAAGTAGATCCAGCTGACCTCAAACTCCCAGAGACCCGCCTGCCTCTGGCTTTTCGTCTTGACCAGAAACAATGTCTAGTGTCTTTAAGACCTGTCTTGGTGTCTTTGGTTGCTGTGATGGAATATTCTGAAAAAGCAACTGAGGAAGAAAGGGCTTATGTTACAGTTCCGAGCTACCATCCATCATGGCAGGGGAGTCACGGCAGCCGGAGCTCGAAGCTGCTGTCACAGCACATCCATAATCAGGAACAGAGTGACAAAAATGATGAACACATGCTAGTATTTGGCTCTCTTTATTTCACGCAGTCCAGGACCTGCCCAGGGAAGAGTCCTCCGCATCAGTTAACATAATTAAGACAATTCTCAGAGGTCCATCTCCCAACTGGCTCTAGACTCTGTTAAGTTGACAGTTAACACTAACTGGTACAAAACCAACCTGGATAACATACATGCCTTCTTTCCACGTCTTGACTTTTTTTCTTTTTTGAGACAGGGTTCCTCTTTGTAGCCTTGGCTGTCCTGGGACTTACTCTGTAGACCAGACTGGCCTCAAACTCACAGAGCTCCTCCCGTCTCTGCGTGCCGAGTGCTGGGATTAAAGGCGTGCACTACCACTACCTGCCTTCTTTAACACTTGTTAAAAATAAAACCCACCTTACTCTTTTTTTAATATTATCGGCACCCAGCAGAATACAGGAAGTATTTTAAGGACTATATAACTTAAGATGCTAAGTATTTTTGGTTGGTTCTACAGCTGGGGAGAAACCTGGGGGAACAAAGGATATGTTCTCTTGGCTCGAAACAAGAACAATGCCTGCGGCATCACCAGCCTGGCCAGCTTCCCCAAGATGTGATCCCAGCCAGCCAACCCATCGGCTCTCCCCTTCCTTCTCTGCTGGTGCAAGATAATGGTGTACTTGGGAAGGGAATTGGCATGCCCTCCTGAAGTGGAAGCATCCATACTTGACTTCTTCTCTCCAGTGACAGCGGGACTTCGTCCTCTCAGCCAGGGCTCTTCTCTCTGCGGACGCAACAGGACATTGTCTGCGAGTTGAGGACTCTTAGGCTGAGGTGTCTGTGCCTATAGACCCTGGAGGCCTCCAGCAGGCTAGAGGCCTACGGTGGCCTTCCCAAGTCCCTGGCTTCCATAAGCTCCAGAGCACATTCCTGTCTTCCACCAGGATTCTCAAGTCTATTCATAATTCTTCGACAAATTTACACAATATAAGAAGTGTGCGTTTGTTTCCTTCTTTGCGTTTGAAACAAAGTATCTCATTTACAATTTAATAAATAACATGCATTTACACTCATGTTGGTAATGGTGCTGGCCGGCAGTTATTTATTAAGTTATTTATTATTGTGTCATGAGAACTAGACATTTCTGGGAGTAAGTGGACCTAGGGTGGTCTGTCGGTATTTAAATGTGCCTGTGAAGCTGGACACAGTGGTCTGTGTGTGTGGTCCCAGCACTTGAGAGGCAGAGGCAGGAGGACGGCAGCAGTAGGTGACAGCATACCTAAGCCTCGAACAGACGTGGCTGTGGCCAGAGGTGTTTTAGAGAAAAACAAGCCAGTGCCATGCTTAGCGTTGGCTGGTCTCTGCCCCCAGAGCCAGGGGAGGAGAGGCTGCTGTCACACAGGCTGAAGATGCTCTCATAATCGTGTTTAGACTGTATTGCTGCTAGACCGAAGGTCCTCACCCTTCCGAAAGCTGCGCCCCTCTAACATGGCTCCTCAGGCTGTGGTGACCCCAACCAGAAAGTTATTTCCATTGCTGCTCCATAACTGTAATTCTGCTACTGTTAGGAATCATGATATAAATATCTGTGTTGTTCCATGGTTTTAGGTAACCCCTGGGAAAGGGTCCATTGACCGCCCCCCTCCAGGGAGTTGCAACCCACAGGTTGAAAACCGCTGTGCTAGAGGAATAAATTAGCACTATTATACCATATGGAAGAGTTCACAGTTATTATTCACTGTTGTACACTCTTTTAAATATTTTTAAATTTAATATAAATTTTGATTTTTTTTTTGTTATGTGTTATATGTATGTGTGTGTGTTTTACCTGCCTGTATGTCTGTGTACCATGTGCATGCCTGGTGCCCACGGAGGCCAGAAGAGGGTGTCAGATGCCCTGGGCCTGGAGTGGTTGCTGGGAGTCAAACCTGGGCCCTCTGGAAGAGCAGCCGGTGCTCTCAAACTCTGAGCCCTCTCTCCATCCCTCACTGTCATGCACTCTTAGTTCAGGCTTGTGCACCCCACCACCAGTTTTTGGCCTGTAAATGGACATGCCAGGTATATATGTGGCAGCATGTGCCCTTAATCTGTGAACCTCTCTGAGTTTGAGGCCTGGTCTATAGAGTAAGTTCCAAGATAGCCGGGCAACACAGTGAGGCCCTGTCTGAAGCCTACCCACTCAGAAATATGTGGACATATAGTAAGCTATATTAAGTCTGAAAGGATGAGAACAATTAGTTCTGCCTTCAAGAATGTCATAGGCTGTTAGGCATGGTCATGCCGTTTGCCTGCACTTTCAGCTCCTCGAAAGGATGAAGCAGGAGAACCACATGCTCAGGAGTTCCAAGACGCCAGACGCCAAAGCAAGACAATGCCTCAAGAACAAGAAGTTTATAGAGTAGATAATACTGAAATGCTAGGGTAGTTTGTGGCGGTGCACACCTTTAGTCTCAGCTCTCAGGAGGCAGAGGCAGGCGGATCTCTGTGAGTTCAAAGCCAGCCTGGTGTATGTAGGAAGTTCTAGGAAAGTCAGGCCTATGTAGAGATAAACAGTCTAAAAAAAAAAAAAAAAAAGGTTGGACACAGGAGTGTAGTAGAACATTGATAAGTACAGAAGGAAACAGCCAGTGATGGTGAGAATTGCTCTATTGCCCAGACCAACAGGAGTCAGTCATTAATGTACTGGGTTTTATGTTGGCGTAATGTTCTTGTGGAAGGTATACAGTTTACCCTTGTTCATTCACATGCTGATTTCTCTACCCCACCGTCTGGTTTCAATCCAGACGTTGCACTGTGATGTTTATTCTAAGCATCACCTGTCTCAAGTTTGTGTGAACATGCCACCGTTGGTTCTCTGTATTTTCAATAAATCAACCAGCCAGTGCTGACCGATGGAGAGAACAGGGTGGGACATCCTGGTCCAGAAGGGAGGAGAAAGAAGTGAGTGGGAGGAGTTGGAGAGGACTTGGAACTATGAGGAGAGATGAACCAGAACTAAGATATGACTAAAAGCTAGTAAATGTAGGAAATCTGAATGGTAAGAAACTATGCAAGCTTGGAGGTTTAGGATGGAGAAACTATTGCCCAGCATTGTGCTCTAGGTTAATTAAATAAATCCTAGTCTCTTTGTGGTGATTTGGGTATACAGCTGGTTTAGGAATAACTGCCGCTTAACTAAGAGATAAATCAATGGTAAATATTAATATTCAGCAACAATTTTAGATAGAGGCTTTAATGACAGCACAAAGAGTTGGTGCATGGTGTGAAAGACCACACGAAGCCGAGCATTCTGGAGGGACTGTTAAGGCTGGTATGACTCGGATACAGTGCAAAGCACACAGCAGAGCTAAGAAGAGGAAAGTAAAGATGACCTGGTACCCTCACATGGTCAGTGTGTACCCAGGGGCTCGCTGGCAGTTAGTGCGCATCGAGCGTTTTTGCGTCAGGGACTCTCCAAGCAGGCCTGCTGGCCAGCGGGCACTAGGAAATCCCACTCTGCTCCTTAGCACTGAATTAGCAACACCACTCACTGCCCTAGTCTTCAAAACAAAACAACAAAAATGCCAAAAAAAAAAAAAATATATTATGTTGTTTTTTTTTTCATGTGTGTGTGCTCTTCTTGTATGCTTGGTACCCAGGGAGGTCAGAACAAGGTGTTGGCTCCCCTGGAACTGGAGTTACCCACAGCTGTGAGCTGCCCTGTGGGTGCTGGGAACTGAACCAGGTCCTCTGCAGGAGCAGCCAGGGTGCTCAGCCATGGAGCTGGCCGTCAACCATGCTCCTCTCTTTAATTTTTTTTATTTGTGACTGTGTGTGTTTATGTGTGTACGTGTTTTCAGAGTTCAGAAGATGTCCAGAGCTGGGCCACAGCTAGTATGGGGGCTGGGAACTGAACCTCCTCCTCTGCAGAAGCACCGAATGCCTCAACCCCCGGCTCCGCAATTGTCAGTTAACACCGTTTGCCGCTTCGCCCATCTCTAAATACTCTCCAGCTGCTGGAAGTACTTTCACGGTTAGTTACTTCAAGTCCGAATCCAGGCAGCTCTACACACCGTTGGAATGTTAAATCGGCAGGAGGCTCAGCAAGCAAAGGCACTCCTCTAGGCTGTCCTCCGACCCCACGCACACTGTGGCCCGTGCACGCCTTTACACACAATAAGCAAATGTGACTCTTGAAAAGTCTGCTGTGTCCTTTAACAGTCACCTACTCCCGTCCTCCTCCACAGGCTTTTTTCCTCCTCACTTGGTGAGAGCCCAGGTAACTGCTGGGGAAACCAGAAACGGTAAACACGCAGGGCTGTCTCCTCAACAGGTGAGGTGGAGGACGGGCCTTTCCACCCAGAAGGCTGGGAGTGGGGATGGCTAACGACCTGGTGATTTGTGCTTTCTGTAGAGCCAGGCCAAACCAAGCTCCCACAGCCGGCACGGAGGTGCTTAATAATCTAGGTGACTTTTGTGTTATCTGGGTGGACAGAGTCCCACAGCCAGGATCAGAGGGGGCTAATGGCTCAAATGACCTCTACGCTCTGTGTATGACTGGGACCACACCACAGCCTCCCCCAGGCCCTTGAGATAACACATGTAGCCTAACTCTAGAACCCATTTTCTCTGAACTTTTTCCCAAATTGTTCTGTACTGAAACATGCTTACTATTTAACTCCCCAGAGTCTGACTCTAGACGTTTGAACCCATGTCAGCTAACTAAGTGAGGTTGAGCTGGCTTTCCTTCTTGCCTGTGTGGGTGGTTTCTCTGCCGGTCCTGGTTTCTGCAGTGACCCTCCCATTCATTGATTTAAGGGCTCAGTGATTTTTTATTGACCCAGTAAAGTGGTTTGATTAATTGCTTCCTCTTTGTGGCCAAGGCCCCTGTGCTCTCTTTACTGTAATCTGAACTATTTCTCACAGGCTTCACAGGCATGAGAAGGAAATGAAGACGTAAACCACGAGTTCTGTGATACTTTCATATTGCTCCCAACTCCTCTGCCATTGGGAAGCCTTCCTGAGTCGTTAACAGGCTTCTTACTCACAGACCACCACTTGTCAGGGACTGTGGTAAAGTCCTTGACCTTGGTGATTACAGTCTTAGAGGCTTTCTTTCCTGAGACTTGTTTTTTGTTGGTGGGGGGAAGGGGCCAGGGCAGTGCAGTGCCCCCAGAGGCCAGAAGAGGGCACCAGATCTCCTGGAGCTGAAATGACATCCTTGTGAGTCACCTGAGGGTAGAAGGTGGGATCCAAACTCTGAGAGAACTCTGATAGAACTCTGCTGAGCCATCTCTCTCTCCAGCCCTCCGAAGCAATTTCCACAGACACAGACACACAGACACACACACACACACACACACACACACACACACACACACACACACGTTTATTCTTTCTTGGGGGGCAGGGTGAGAATGGTTTCTCTGTGTAGCCCTGACTGTCCTGGAACTTGCTCAAGACCAGGTTGGCCTTGAACTCAGAGACCTGCCTGCCTCTGCCTCCTGAGCACTGGACTAAAGACATGCACGACCACTCCCAGTCCAGTAATTGCAACATAGGCTCTCACTCTAGCTCACACCTGGAATTTACTGTAGTGCTCAGGCCACCATTAAACTTGTGGTGATCCTCCTGCCTCAGCCTCCCCAGGACTGGGTTTATAGGCCTGTATCACCATGTCTGGCCCATGGATTTACAGAATAAAGGTGCTCAGTTTTTGATGAAAGGCCTCATGAATAGAAAATTCTAGGAAATGCATTGAAAAACAATCAGAACTAATGAAAGGAACTTGACACAGCTGCAGAACTCAAAATCAAGACATGAAAGTCGGGTTATGGGCCAGGCATGGTGGTACACACCTTTGATCCCAGCACTTAGGGAGGCAGAGGCAGGGGGATCTCTGTGAGTTCTAGGCCAGCCTGGTCTACAGAGTGAGTTTCAAGACAGCTGGGACTACACAGAGAAACACTGCTTCAAAAAACAAAACAAAACAAAGCAGAAAAGTCAGCTTAGTTTTTTATGGACTAATAAACTGAAAATGAAATTAAGGCAACTCTATTTAAAGTAACATCCAAAAGAATAATGAAAAAAAAAAAAAAAACCAGAAAGAACACAAAGTTACATTTTCCAAATTATAAAATTTTGTTTAAGAAGGTTAAAGGCTGGGTAGGGTAGCCCACACTCACAGTCTCAGCCCCCTGGAGGCAGAGTTGGGAGATCAGTGTAACATGGAGGCCAGGAGCATATAAGGACTTCTGGGACAGCCAGGGCTATATCATAAGACCGTCTGTAAAAGTAAAATAAATAAACAATATTTTTTAAAAAGAAAGAAAACCGAAATAAAGGCGAGGTGTGGTTTATGTGTTGTCTCAGCACTTGGGAGGCTGAGGCAGGAGGATTGCTATAAGTTCAAAGCCATCCTGGACACAGTGAGTTCTAGGTCAAAACTGGGCTAATAGTGAGGCCCTATCACTCTTTAAGAAAAAAGAAAACGAACAAATGGAAAAGCATAAAAATAAATGGTGGAGATAATGTAAGAACAGTTTGGTAGGTCCTCAAAAAGTTAGGGATGGAATTATCTGTGACACAGTAATTTCACTTCAAGAAACAGATCCAAC